TCTCACCTCCTCACTCGTACCTCTCTCTTTCTCTCGTAAGTGATTAATGATATAGTAGAATAAGCAAGCAGATATTTGCAGATCAGCAGTGAGAGTACTTTTTTCCAAAACCGAAGGGGCGTCGAAAAGGTAACTGTTGAGTCTCGTCTCTTTAATCTCATCAGGGCTAGACACGAGAAAATATCGCTCGTGACGATCCAGGTCTCGGTAAAGAGAGATTGCACGCAGAGTTCAACAGAGGGTCTCAAAAATGTTTCCAGTGGCACATTGGGCGTGCTAACAGATGTACTGGAAGGGATCCTCGAAACGTTAGGATGTTTTGGGGAGGGGTGAGGGGGGATTATTAGGAAATAGGAGTGGGCGTGCTGTAACCTTGTTAATTCGTTGGGGTACTGAGAGTTATGGATATTATTGCTCTGTAAAAGTTTAGAATGCTGCTAAGGTAAAAAGGAGTTAGAGGTAAGTAACGATAGAAGACATAAACGAACAACAAACACCACTAGTCACTACCAGGATATGAAAGCAGAGGAGGAGTTAAATCACAAATCAGGATATAAACAACGGACAAAAAAAAAAAAGAGAAAAAGACGTAAAAATAAATTTTTTGCTTCTTTTTATTATCTTCTTACCTATTTGACATATTACCTATCATGTATGTTGCAAATAAAAAAACCACTATCTCAAATACAATATCGCAATTCATCACTCCTATAGATGTAATACGCTATAGATTCTGCTCGAGACTGTTCAATTCGACTTATCAAGTCATCATGTCCAGCACATAAGCCAGAAGACAGAACTAGGCGAATCTGCTTGTGCCGTGAAATCTGCACTATCTTACAGCTATAGAGAATACTCTGCGCGGCACAAATCTGACTCTGACGAACTCCATGGACGCGAGCCGCAAACCCACTGAGCACGCGACTGAATCACATATCACATTGAGATAAACTATAGATTTTGTGTTGGTGACATTATGTGCTATAAGGTCTATATTTCTTTCTGTAGTATTTTTGTTTAGTTGGTCTGTCTGTTGTCTCATATCTCATGCATTCTCTTCTTTCTAATATTATATCTCTAATTCTCTATCTCTACTTCATAGACCTCTAATCTCTCTCTATATTCATCCTTTACTCTCTCTTATCTCTCTCTCATCTCGTCTCTCTCTATCTATCTCTCATCTTGCAACAAATACATACACATATACAGTACATACAGCGCAATTATCACACACACACGACACACAATGTCGTGAAATCGCAACACATTATATGAATGATCTATAGATATATATATTAAATCAATGTCATAAGATGGAAAATATAACCTATTTAAAATGTTAAAAAATGTTTAAAAATGTTCAAAATGTTTAAAAATGGTGTTCAGGTCGCATCAAGAAAACAGTTGATTGGCAGTGAAAATAACATAATGAACAACGTGTATTTCAAAAAGCAGTCGATTGTACCACCAACTAACGGTAACGACATCATTTGAGACTAAATTAACGGTAAAGAAGTGATGTATAGAAGTGAAGATTTACCAGTTGTTGAAGAATCTATGTTTGTAATGGAATGAAATGCCCCAATTCACCACTTCATGAGCTTAAACTGAAGGTTGGGTGCGTAATAATAGTCATTCGTAACACAAATCCTCATAAGATCTGTAACGGCACTAGATTGATCGTTACGAACCTAAAGAAGAATATTATTGTGGGGAGTATCTAAGGAGGCGTATGTGACGGTGATCAAGTGATCATACCGAGTCACACTCATATCTACAGATACACTAGTAAACTCCAAAAGAAAGCAATTTCCAGTTAAACTGAACTTTGCAATGAATATATACAAGTCACAGGGGCAGACATTTGATAAATGTTAGATACAGCAGACTGCCTCTCTCATGGACAGTTTTACGTCGCAGGTTCACGAGTGACAAAGTGGGATTCTCTGATCATCTATACTGGAACTACTAAGGAAAACAGCGAAATAGTCACGAGTTGTCTCTAAATAGGAGAGGTGAACCTTGAGACAACACCGACAACACCTGACTTCTCTAGAGGAGAGGTGGAGCACGGAACAATTACTATTCCTGACTTAAGACACTTGAAGAGGCAATTAAGATGATTTTACAAGATTAGGACACTGCAGATTCACTGCAGTACAACGAGAACAACGAGAAACTCGAAATCTTAACCATAATCAAGAGGATGAGTGATGAAGACGGCGATGAAGGTCGTATATCTCCTAAACGCCGACTCGACGCATAAAAGGACTATGATGGATAAGAATCTGATGATAGCGAACCATATAAGAAACAACATAAATATGTAGGCTCTTAGATTAATAAACAATGCCTCTTTTATTTCACATTTGTTAATATTGTCTTACATAAGGGCGAAGCCCTAAAGTCACACACATACATACTTACACACACACACACAGACCACCTCTTGTGCGTCCGTCTCGGGCTCAAAGACCACCTCTTGTGCGTCCGTCACGGGCTCAAAGACCACCTCTTGTGCGTCCGTCCCGAGCTCAGACCACCTCTTGTGCGTCCTTCTTGGGCTCATAGACCAAAGATTTACCTTTCTAACCTCAGCTAGAAAGTGCTGTGTGTCCAACTGACCAGCGAGCATCTATTCAGCCAGCGAGTGTTCCAATCTGGAAGGCTCATTGAATTGTTGTGGCATGGCCAGCTTAGGGTCGACGGAGAAAATCCTCTTCGTTTCAGGTGAAACTTTCTCAAATTCTCGGGGAGTGACTCCAACCCTACCTTTAGTTGATCGGCAATCAGTTGAATATCACTGTACTACTAGTTTCCAGAGAGGTTTGAGAAGAAAGTCCTTGTGACATCATAATACACCTCAGGCTCATGGACCACCTCCTCTTAGCTTTCTTCTTGGGCTCATAGACCACCTCTTGTGCATCCATCTCGGACTCATAGACCACCTCTTGAGCGTCTTTCTTGAGCTCATAAACCACCTCTTGAGCGTCCTTCTTGGGCTCATAGATCACTGCGTCCTTCTCGGACTCATAGACCACCTCTTGAGCATCTTTTTTGGGCTCATATACCACCTCTTGGGCGTCCTTCACTGGCTCATAAACCACCTCTTGTGCGTCCTTCTCGGACTCACAGGCCACCTTTTGGACATCCATCTCAGGCTACTGGATTGTCCCAGGCTCCTCAGGCCCTACCGATATCACTACGGTGATGTCACACATGGTCTGTCCATCATCTGAAGTGCATGTCTTGTGCGTTCTTCTCGGGCTCATAGACCACCTCTTGGGCTTCTTTCTCGGGCTCATAGACCACTTCTTGGGCATCCTTCTCGGGCTCATAGACCACTTCTTGTGGGTCCTTCTCGGGTTTATAGACCACCTCATGGGCGTCCGTCTCGGGCTCATTGACTACCTCTTGGGCGACCTTCTCGGACAAAATCGTTACAACAGAATTGAACCTAGAGGCAACTTTGACAACACCTGACTTCTCTGAAGGAGAGACGGATCACGGAACAATTACTATTCCTGGAAAAGTCTTCATACTAACTTCTTGTCAACCAACACTAAAGATTCACTGGATTCACTTAAAGATGACATTTTGGAAACTCGATAAGAACTCGAGAAGATCTTCACCATAATTAAGAGGATGAGTGATGAAGACAGCGATGAAGGCCGTAGATTTCCTATGCGCCGATTCAACGCAGAATGATGGACTATGAAGGATAAGAATCTGATAAAAGCGAACTGTCTAAGGAACAACATAATTCTGTAGACTCTTAGATAAATAAACCAATGTTTGTATAACATGCCTCTTTTATTTCACATCTGATGATATTGTGTTACATAAGGGCGAAGCCCAAAGGGCGCAATGCGCCCGCGAGCGAAACAAGCAAACCCCGCTGGGTAAGCAACCTGCTGTAGCCAGGTGCGGCGCAGCCTCTGCTTGATATATATATATATATATATATATATATATATATATAATATATATATATATATATATATATATAGTGTGCACTTCAGATGATGGACAGACCATGTGTGACATCACCGTAGTGTATTAATATATAATACATATATATACATATATATACATACATATATATATATATATTATATATATATATATATATATATATATATATATATACCCAAATACGTGTGTTTGTGTGTGTGTATTTGTGTGTGTGTGGTGTGTTTGTATATATCTACATATATCTATATGTACACACACACACACACACACACACACACACACACACACACATTTATCTCGATCATCTGCTGTTATCCTAGACTTTCCCGTTACTTTCCATTCCCTCCCGAGCTGTCGTGGCCAATATCGTATGTGCGCTTCACTGGCGACAAGAGTGAAAGCCGAATTCCTTCCAAAGACATGGACAGATATCAGTCAAATCTCGTCTTTAGGCGTCATTTCCAAATTTACTCATGCTGAGTTACTCAGTTTTCCAAAGGATACCCGACGAATTATGTGAAATCAATTACTTCTCACAATGAAAAACCCTTTATGATCTGAATTACATAAAAACAATATTAATCGTTGATTCATTTTTCATAATTCTTTTTAAAGAATGGAATACAGTCTCTTGATTAAGGAGGTAATCCTCAGGTTTATAGCGAGCCTTTAAAAAAAAAAGAGTAAATGTACAAAAAAGTATGAGAGTAAGCAAGGAACATGTATTTATTATCAGTAATGGAACATGTCGATTGATGGCTTTCTCAGAAGCCGGGTTATTAAACGAATTGAGGAAAGTGGGCAGAACATCCTGTAACTTATTAAATAAATATTTTTTTGTTCTCAAGATTATTGGTTTATGAGGATCTTGTTTAAATATTTATTAATCTGTCATCAAAAATACTGAGTGCGGTAATCTTAATCCCATTTTTCTCTACCGGGATGTAATGTTGAACTTATTCTTGGCAGTATAGGCATACTTTCGTTATGTGTAACTGTGACTTTTGGAAAATTAAGACATAACC